ACCCCCATACCCTGTACCCCCATATCCCCATACCCTCATGTCTCCACACCACATCTACTTGTACCCCCAAACCCCCAGCACCCTGTACCCCCATACCCCCCCATATACACCACACCCTGTACCCCTCTGCCCCCCTACCTCCGTACCTGCAGCCGGCCCCGCATTGCGCAGTTCTCCCTGTCCTGCGTCTCCCAGGTGAGGTGCTGCCAGGTGAGATGGGGGGGTGGGGGGTGGGTGGGCACAGGGACCCCCCACCCTGGCCCCCCCGTGTCCCCAGGGACGACAGTCCTGGCCCCCTTACCCTCTCAGGGTACAGCATCCCCTTGTCCTGCCCCAGGTCGAAAGCGTAGATGTGGTCCCTGGAGGGGGGGGGGGCATGAGCGTGCGAGGGGCACGGGGATGTGCGAGGGGACACGTGCCACGCACAGGCGCAAGGGACTGCAGGGACACATATGGGGCCATGGGAGGGAAAGTGGGGGCACAAGCACGCACAAGCGCACAGGAGCACATGCTGGCAGGCACAAGTGTGCACAGGTACGGATAATCAGGCTTGAGCATGCAGAAGCGGGTGCAGGCGCATGCAAGTGTGCCCAAGCGTGCACAAACATGGACAAGCACACACAAGTTTGCACAAGTGTGCACAAGTTTGCAGAAGCAAACAGGCCTCCAGAAGCACATGCACATGTGAACAAGCATGCACAAGCTTGCAGAAGCACACACAAGCACATACAAGCATGTGTAACCTTGCACAAGCACAGACAAGTGTGTACAAGCACGCAGAGGCACGCACGAGCACGGACAAGCATGCACAAGCTTGCACAAGCATGCAAAGGGAGGATGAGCTTGCACAAGCACAGACAAGCATGTACAAGCATGCACGTGTGCACAAACATGGACAAGCACACACAAGCACGCACGAGCTTGCACAAGCACAGACAAGCTTGCACAAGCACATGAGTTCGCACAAGCGCAGAGAAGCATGTGGAAGCATGCACAAGCGTGCACAACTGCAAACCACGCATGAGCGTGCACAAGCGCACCCGAGCGCGGCCCCGCTCACCGGGCGGCAACGAAGAGGGTGCTGTTGAGGCACAGCATGCGCTGGAAGTCGAGGCCGAGCTGGTCCGTGACGTTGTCCCCTCGAAGGCCACCAAAGCGGGGGTAGGCAGCAGTGGCTGGGGGGAGAGGGGGGGAGGCGGTGACACCCTGCCGGCCCCCCAAGCCCCGGTCACCCCCCCCCGGACACCTCCCCGCCCCACTCACCTGCCAGCCCCACGGTGCTGCGTGCCACCAGGTCCCGTGGGAAGGACAGCGCCGCCCCCCTGGGGTCCCCCGGGATGATGAGGAGGAGGAGGACAAAGGGCAGCAGTACCCCCGGCATCGTCGTGGGTGCCCGGAGGGGACGCGGGGCTGAGGGCGACCCCCCGCCCCGGGCTGCAAGGGGCTGATCTCAGCAGGGGGAAACTGAGGCACAGGGGGGGTGGGGCACAGGACAGCCCTGGGGATGGGGGGGCGCGGGGACAGCAGGGATGTGCACCCTGAGTGCGGGGACGGTGCTCCCAGTGCCCTCTCCCAGTGGCCCCAGTATCCTCCTCCCGGTGCTCTCAACCCAGCGGCCTTATACCCCCATCCCAGTGCCCCCTCCCAGTGCCTCTGCTCCGATGGGCCCGTCCCAGTGTCCCCAGTACCCCCGTCCCAGTGCTCCTAGTGCTCCCAGTGCCCCGCAAACTGCTGCCAGCAGTGCCGGGACACCACGCGCAGCACAAGCGTGTGCAGCGGGGCACGGCTGTGCGCACACCCGCCCCCCCCCGCACACCCATACCCCACACGCCCGGCTCCGCAGCACCCACCTGCACCCTC